GTGACGCGTCGATAGAGGCAATCTAATATTTTTCTCTAGCGAGAGGATCCTCGGGAGACGAAAATTCGAATGAATGGAAGAATAGAAAAATTACGCTTCGACAAGTGCGTAATAGGAACGATAACGGTGACGATCGTAAAAAAATTGTGATTATATTCTTATCGGTTAATAAAACGGAATCGTAAAAAAGAGTCGTGAATGCGTTACAATTATTTATTTATGTATTTCTACGAGCAACGCGTGAAAACACTTTTATTTTTCAATTTCTACTCCTCTCGCTCCCTCCCCCCTCTTATAAGTAATATGCATAATACACGTGCTGCGCGTATAGACGCGCAACAATATCGATTTTAATTTCAACACCGGGAGAAAACGCAATTTCACCGAGCACCGATTTCGCAATCGTTTTAGCGGGATGTTGCAAAGTTTGTTAACTCGTTAATTAGCCACGATTTCGTAATACACGCTGTTGCATCGAAAGAGAAAGAGAGAGAGAGAAAGAGAGAGAGAGAGATTCTCGGTCGATACAATTTATCGATGGCTGTTCTATCAACTATTTCTCTCTTGTGCCCGGAATTACATTTTTTTTTTTCTTTTTTTTTATTTGAGAAGCGAATTCTGGGAATAATGTTCCAGCTTCTTCGAACGTGTAACCACTATTTCTATAGGGAAAAAAGTAGGTACGAGGAATTTTAAACGAGTTTTTCAACCATTATGCATCAATTATACCGATTGCGCTCGAATGTTAATTTGCGAATCGATTAAATCGTACTAAGCAATTAGAAATATTCGCTTTATTTTTCTATTATTGACTTCGATGTCATAATATGTATATGAGATCGATGTATGCGAGACACGCGTTCACGAGGAATTTTAAACGAGTTTTTCAACCATTATCCATCAATTACAACCGATTGCGCTTTGGATATTAATTCGAGGAGTCATCTACTTCATTCCGACTTATTCGATCGAAATAATTAATTTTGTTTTAATAATTGAACGAAGTGATACGTACAAGTTTCCAATCGATATATAGGGATGAAGGACGAGAATCGCACAAGGTCACGCTTCACCTCTTGACTCTCGTAGCAAGAGATGTTACTCGTTCGAAGGACAACGAGAAACTGAGTCAGGTAGAAGAAGAATCCTAAAGAAGAACCTGAGGATCGTTAAATGCCTCCTTCGTCCTAAAATTACTTTTTGCCCGACCAACCCTCAAATTTATACAAATCGTTCCCCCCTTTAAACAGTTCTTCTAGTGCAATCCATCTTCGATGAAGGCCTTCTTCGAATTAATACAGTACAAGACATACAATATAGCATAATTCTTCTGAATCTTCACGGTACATATTCTGTTTTAGAAATCTCTTTAGAAACTATCCTCTCTCACTGGATTCTTTTTCTTATTAACGTTATCTGATTATTATTCGTTCGTTCACAAAAAACACGCGTGATTTTCGATGATTTATTATCAAAAACAAATCGTCGTTTATCTCGATAAAGCAACGAATTATATTCTTGGCACGAATAATATTCCAAGTTAACCCACGTTAGAATCAAACGTGTCGTATTGATAAGGAAAAATTTAAAATCAACACTTTATCGATCTTTCGGACTTCGATCATCAAGAAAAATATCAAACTTCAAGAATGTTCCTCCGTTGCAACCAAAATTCCCACCAATTTCCTTTTATCACGTCCATTACATAAGGAATTTCAATCTGACATAAAGTAACGCAGAATATATCCTTAACGCGAATAACATTTACTCCAAGTTTACAGAGTTAAAAAACGTGTCATATCGGCGAGATGAAAAATTTAAGATCGATTTAATCAATATTGCATCGAGAAAAATATCAAACGCCAAATTCTTCGACTTCTATGTTTCCTTCCTTCGTTGCAACAAATTTTCCTTTATTTTTATCGCGTCCATTACATAAAGAATTTCAATCTGATATAACACGAATATGTCCTTAACACGAATATGTCCTTAACACGAATAACATTTATATAAACGTGTCATATTGGCGAGAAAAAAAATTTAAGATCGAAATTTAATCAACATTACATCGATCGTCGAGAAAAATATCGAACGTCGACGATGTTTCCTTTGTTGCAACAAATTTCCCTCCTTTTTTTTTTTTTATCGCCTCCATTATGTAAGGAATTTCAACCTGATAATAGATTTATCTGATCGTGGAAGGGGAGATGAAACGCGATGCTTCCTCTCGACAGACAGTCGACGACGAGCGGCCGCTCGCGACAGGTGGGTTACGCGTTAAATTTGCGATTAATCACGATCATTATTTCGCCCACTAATCATGACCGCATTTCGCCAAATCGGCCGATTACGCGCGTAATTGCGGTTGTTTCCATCCCGAAATTGGATCCTCCCGCGCCTCGATCCCTCCCTCGATCAATTATTCCGCGTTCCCTTCCGTGACTTCTGTTTTTTCCGTTCCTTCGTCACGAGTTCCTTCCTCCTTCTCCTCCTCCTCCTCCTCCTCCTCCTCCTCCTCACCCTCTTCTCTCTCCCTCGTGGCGATTCAAGGATTACGACATCCGTAAAATTTATGTATTCCCGTTTTAAATATTTACACACCGGCTGTCGTTTAACGAACGTTCGCAATGACGTGTTCGATAAAACGTTGGCATTTATTTTTTTTCGAACCGGGAATCGATTTTTTTTTTTTTTTCTTTATCAGGGCAACGCATTTGGATACGAGTTTTTTTTTCGATATCATTAATCAAATTGTCCATCCGACAAATTAGTTCTGCAAGTGGTGATTGATAAATTTGTCGCGAAAAAAAGAGAGAGAGAGAGAGAGGATACGATAACGATATCGCGATTAGCTTCTTCTTTTTTTTTTTTTTTTTTTTTTTCCTCCCCTCTTCGCTTAATCGTTCATTGGAGAAAAACGTGTTCGTTGTTTTCGAGAATGGGAAGGAAGATCTGAAAGAGAAGCATGTTTGTCTCATAATCTGGTCTATTGTGCTAGAAATAATTTATGATTCACGTGAATAAACGAATGCTTTGACCTCTGTTTTCTTCCTTTTTTTTTTTTTTTTTTTCTTCTTTTCGGGAACGTCGATGCAAAGAGATGGTAGAAATTCGGCCGAAATGATTCCTTTCATGCGTTCCCTGATCAATCCTACGTTTCACTGTTACTCTTTTGTTCATTTTATTCTCTCAAGATCAACGGATAAAATTCGATGAAATTTCCATTGTCATCGCGAGATTATTATTTTTTTATCTCTCTTACAAATCGATTCTTAAATGGACCCCTGGAATCGCAATTAAGACTTACAATGAATCTTACAAAAATGAATAAAAAAAATAATTTTCGAAACATTCTATCTCTTATCTTATTAATATAAGCAAAAATCGTGGACAAAATCCACGAGTTTATTTAACTTTCGATTCTTGAAAATTTAAGAATCGATGGTACGATTAAACCTTTGATTATGAAGAAAGAAAAAGAAAAAGCTAATTTATTATTATTATTATTTTTTTTTCTCGACAGAT